TCACTACCAGGAATCTGAAGTTTTAAGTAATACAGCGAAGGGAGGACTCTGGGAACTGACAGCTTCCTAGGAGAGGACGCAGGGGATAAAACGAGGTGATTTCTTGAACAAAAATCACATTTGCCTTTGAAAAAGCTGCTCTTTTCTTTAACTAGCTCTTTTGCTTAGTTCTGGCTAGCCTGCCTGTGTTATCATCAGAGGATAAAGCTTCAGGCTAAATAAAATACCCATTTACTAAGCCATGAAAACGCGCAGATTTTCATATAAAGAGCCTGAACTTTGGCCGTTTGCCGAAGGGCAGTGGAGCTCTGTCCGCTGGAAAACCCCGTCCTCCGAAGGAAGTCAGAGTCCACCCCGCAGTTCCAAGAAAATGTGAAAAATGCGAGGGGAATGAAAATTTTCCATTTGACAGAGCCGAAAGGGAGCTGCCTCCTTTCCAAGCAACAGCCTTTCCCACCCTGCGAACTCAACGTCTCTGCCGCAGCTTCGCCTCGCGCTGCACGTCCGCTCCTGCCCCAGCCTAAGCAGCACTTGAGCCGAAACTCCACGGCCTCGGGGTCTCCGGAGCAAATCTGGACTTTGTGACCCCCAGACGCTGCTGCGTAAGAAGGAGCTGACTCAAGACCTGGGAGCGCTGAAGTTCCCTCCCCATTCTGCTGATTAAGAAAAACCCTTACAAACATCTTACCAAGATTTAATGTACATTTATTCTTAACACGTGGAACATATAGTATAAAGATTTCATACTGAATAAATGATATTCATTAAGCCAAAAAAGGAAAAAAGGGAGGAATTTACATCAAGTTTTTAGCTACATCGTCTGAAATACAAATATGCAGAATTCATCACTGAAAAATCTCAATTGTGTTTCTTCATCAGGAACTTCAACTGAACCTAGAACTTTTTCACACCTCGATTAGAAAGAAAACAAAAAACAGGAAAAATAAACTATAAGTTGATTGGCTGCTGAGACAGCAATGACTTTATACACAGAGACCTGTACAGCATCCTCCAGGGAGGGATGTCTGGCAAGAGATTAAATAATTGTGTCTCGCTTTTGCAGGTCATCAACTCGTTAACTCGTCATACTATAAAGGGGAAGGGAGAGGGGGACAAAACTGCGAGGGATCTTAGGGTATGTGCAATGTACAACGTCATATATATATACACACGTGGCAGCGCTCGGGCTGCAGCTAAAGGTTAAAACCAGTTCTAAGAGGTGATCTCAGGGTTATTCATACAATCAAGGAGGAAGAGAGAAAGAGGTCAGGGTGTTGTAGGTTCACACATGATACTTTGGGGGAAAAGCCTTTTTTTTTTTTTTTCTCCTCAACATTAACTAAAAACATTTTTAAAAACTACAGCTTGCTGCTGATCCAGCTTTTTTTTTCTTTTTCTTTCCATGTGAGACGTTATTACAGTATGTTTACAGTTTAAGGTGTACAGTACATGAAGTTCTACACGCTACTGCACAGGCCTCCCTTGGACAAGGTCTGTTCACAACTGGTAACTTCTTGGTTCCTGCAAGATTGTGAATGTACAACGATAAACCACAGCGAGTTCAGCAGTCACTTTTGTCCTTCAGAGTTTACCATTAAAAACAGTTATGAAAGTGGTGCCTGTCAATGTGATAACACGGCGAGTCGTTTTTTCCCCAAACTCACTGTAAACGACAGTAACTTTGGTTAAAATAAAAACAAAAAAAGTCTTCTACGTAGACAGAACTTTTGTCTCCTTTAATAAGGGATTCAGGACAAATTTGAAGGGCAGGGGAAGGGGAGAGGGAACGGGGGACGTGTTTCCCCGAGGGAGAAGCAGGACAGCGCAGGGCAGACAGTGGATTCTGAGGTGGTTTTGCATAAATAAAGGGCAACAGTCAGTTTCTAAGTTCTCCACTCACGCACACGCACACAGGGTCTCGGATCCCACAGCTGTCATGACTGGCCAATTAAAAACAGTACATCGCAAATAACTTGCGAAACCAAAGAGTTCATCAAAGGCGACACGGAGATGTCCAACAGCCGCGACTCGTATAACGTGAACTCCGAGTGGTTCTCGTCCACCTTGGCCAGGGCGAGCAGCGCCCGAGCGGCTCGGCGCATCATGTCCACGCTCGTCGACTCGAAGGGCGGGTTCTGCATGTGCATCAAGCCGGCCTGGCTCTGCTGGAATTGCGTGGCGGCCAGGCTGTCCTCCAAGAAGCCCAGCAAGTTGCCAATGCTGCCCTTCTGCACAGCAATCGCTCTCGCTGCCAGGCTGTCCCCCTGTGCCAAGTTGGCCAGTAGTACCACAGCCATCTCTCGACACACCGGGTTCTTTCTGTCACTGAGGAACCGCACCAGGGTGCTGTACAGCTTCTCCAAGCGACTGAAGGGGGGAGTCGCAAGAATCAAATCCACGTTGTTGTCCTGGATGCTGAGTTTGCTGAGCGTTTCCAAAACCAGTCTCTGAGGGGAGAGGACCGCGTTGGGCCCCAGCGTCGGGAAGGGATCCTGGGCCTCTGCTGACGGACATACTGCCCAGTGGAGGAGTCCATCCAGGATAGGCAAACAGATGCTTTCCGGGTAAGGGGAGAGGTCCAGCTGGCCAGAAATGTTGGCCAACGTGACCAGTGTGTTCTCACGCAGCATCTCCAAGCAGTCCCACCACCACTCCACCTTGTTGCAGCTCACCCCTTGGTCCTGCTCCTCCTCTTTCTCGTAGGTCAGGGGCGCCTGTTTGCGTTCTGGATGCTTGTGGTGTAAAAGAATCAGTTTCCCTAGAATCAGCAGCAGCCCGGGGTGTTTGGACATTTCAAAGTCATTGCCTGGCACAAACGATAAACTCCTGATGATGTTAGAGACGCAGATGCAGCGCTTCGCCAGAGAGTCCTGCCAGTCTAGGATGGTGCAGAGGGGCGTCTCGTCTTTACTGTGAGGTTCATCCTCCAGAATTTTGATATTTCTGTGGCTCTGAGCTGGACTAATGCCAAAGGGAAACTTGCTGCTTTCCTTCGCAATTTCCAAAGCTTTGGCCTCTTCCTCCTCCCCTGCCAGGGAGCCCGGACGTGCCGAAAGCATGTCGTCCATGGTGGCAGTTATCCTCTTCTCCGAGGAGCTGTCGGACGGAGGAGTCTCTCCTTCCCTAGTGCTCGGATTGCTCTCGGCTGCCGAACGTTTCCTCAAGCCAGAGTTGCAGGAAGCTCGTTTATGAGTCAAAGGTAGCTCCGTCTTGCTCTCAAAGTGGGTCTGGATGTGCTCGGTGGTGTCTCCTCCGCCGATCCGCCAGTGCAGCAGCCCGCTTTCGAACTCCTGCACTCGCCCCAACTTGTCTGAATAATCTACCACAAACGGGTCGTTTTTCTGCACGACCTTGATTGGAAGCTTGTCAAATTTACTAACTAGTTTTGCCGTGCTGCTCTCTAGAGGTACTTTATCCTTGCTCGAAAACGCAGCCTCCTCCTCTTCCTCATCCTCCTCTTCCTCCTCGCAGTTCGGGCTCCGTGGTTCATCCTCCTCCTCCTCCTCCTCCCCTTCTTCGTGAGAGGAAGCTGAAGATTTGCAGAACCTTTCGGGATCTAATAGTGTTCTTTGCCCTGGGTCTCCCACTTCATATTCCTTCAGGATTCCAAAGATCTCGATCAGGCAGCGCCGGAAATACTCCACCAAGAGTTCCAGCAAGCCTGGCAGCTACGAGGGAGAAGAAAAACAGGAGGGGAAGGAAGGAAGGGAACAGCGATCAGAAAACTGCTTAGGCCAACATGAGCAACTCTAAAAGCAAAGCATAAGGGCTAAGAAGTTAAGTAGCGCTGTTAATTAACGGGTTCTTTTCTTACTGGCAATAAACTGCAAGAGAGAGCTTTCTGTCCTCTGAGAGAAGGAACAAAGGCAAAACCAGATACTGACTGTCAGTATCCAAGCTCCACACACATACCTGTGCAAACACACACGTGCTCTTGGTTGTACCTCCTCTCCAGTTAACACCCAGGGAGGTGCAGGGCTGCGCTAAGCAAAACAGCCTTCTCAGTACTGCCAAGCGGTTTTTTGCAACAGCCAGAGGTGAACGAACACCAACAGCACCCGAGAGCAGCCCCCAGCTCTTCAAAGCGCTCTCGCTGCAAAGGCCATTGCGGCCTCCCCACCGTTACCCCCTTTCTCTGTTCCAGAGGCAACACCTCTCACCAGAGAGAAGAATACACACATTTACACACCAGACGAACACGTGAGTAACCAGCGTGCAGCTACTCAGACCCTACGCCCTCTTCCAACCTGGCTCCACAGGTACAGGGGCATCCAGGAGTTGGCCCTACATGGGGCATGAGCTGCTCGTTGCCACCTCACTGACAGCAAACCCTACAGCATTAGCGCCTCAAAAGACCTGCATCAGCGAGCATCTGCACCCACCTGGCTGAGGTTGAAGGTCATTATGCTGTTGTCATCGTAGAGCAGGATGTTTATGGTATCTAAGGCCCACGTACTTTCAGCTAGCAGCCCGGACTTCAGAGACATCATCACTCTCCAGGCTTCAGGAGTTCCTGTAACATAAACACACGATACTTCCAGCTCCTCAAGTTTAAAAACAAAAAGGAGATACCCGATACTGCTTTGTGGACGCACAAAGAGCGAAGTCTGTTTAAAGTGACGTACAGACTGTACGTACCAGCAATCTCTCCACAGACAACGCCAAAACGATGTCTGAAAATGCAACTAACTTGCAAAAATGTAATTCTTTCCCAGCCAGCGGAACCCTTCCACTTGGCAGTACCAAAGGATGATGGCAGCACCCATTCCCTAAAGAGGCACAAGCAGAAAAGCAGGAGTTTCTTCTTACCAATATCTTTCGCTGTCAGCCGTCTCCTCTGCTTTAACACCGGTTGCGTAGCTTCTACCGATCCCGGAGGGAAGGTGATGTCTCGCCGGATCATGGGAGGCTGTACAGCTGCTGGTGTTATATGCGAGGCAGGGACTGGTGGTCCTGCCTTCTGCATTTTCATCCCCGAGTGCAGGAACGCAGATTTACTAGGAGAAGTGCGATTCTCCAGAGGTCTGGGCAGAGGTGCTGGGTTGGATACCTGAGGAATGTGATTCTGCATGCTAGGGGGGGCCTGGTAGTTTGACTGGGGGGGCCTA